TATAACCTCTGAATTTAAACAAAATAAAGAACACATTTTTATATCTTACAATTTTTCTAGTAAAAAACACAACTTATTTTTGGTATACTTTGTATACAGAATTACATACATTAATTAGGCTTTTAACTCTTAGTAATCTTAATCTAGGAAGCAAGCAATTTTGAACTATCTGTTACAAATAAGTATTTTATAGATGAGAATCGTTTTATAATTTTAAAAACACATTTTCCCATAACCTTAATTTTTTATATATGTTAATAGACCCAAATATGTTTAGCCTTTTTATAAAATTTAAAAGCCAAGAACAAATTTATATTTATATTAAGCCTATTTATGTTTTAATTTTTTTATCCTATTTGGAAATGACTCAGACATTTAATGAGTATCTGTCATTCAATTAATGAACTTAACCTTAAGATTTTAAATTACATGAAAAGTTTATTTGTAAACATTTATTCCATTTACATTTACCTAATTTATTTATTTTTTAACAATTATACCTAGATTATTTATGAAAACTGAGATGTCAGACAAGTCTACTCATCATTTTAAGTTATTTCCCGGTTAACCATTTTTCATAGCCTTTGAATATCAGGTGTTCACTTTAAAGTTAAAAATATGGGCTTTTTGCTGATAACTCAGAAGCTACAGCAATTTTCATTAAGCCAACAATATTAAATTAGTCTCACTTATCAAAGAATTACATAATCAAAGATGATTTTGTTTTAGGCTCAGTTTATAGTTTTATGACCTGAAAACCTCTAGCAGAGACAAATATTGTTCTGTCTGACCAATAAACCCAGGCACAAATGTAGTTGATCGTTTTGAAGACATTTCTATTTTTACTTTATCAACAAATTTAAAATGAGCTTATTTATTAAAGATGTACTCAAGTCACATTAACTAAAAAGTCTTTGGGTTAATTACTACATAATTTAGCAAAGAAAAAAATTTTTTTTCTTCAATTGAGCACTCATTTATCTAAGCCTATTTCAAAAATATTCCTTCAGGGGGCCGACCCGGTGGCGCACTGCTACAGTGCGCCGCTTGGGAGCGCGGCGGCGCTCCCGCTGAGGGTTTGGATCCCACATACAGACCGGTTCCGCTCACTGGCTGGGCGAGGTGCAGGCGCGACACCGAGGGTTACGATCCCGTTGCCGGTCCCGGTCCGGTACGGGCGCGACACTGAGGGTTGCGATCCGTTGCCGGACATGATAAAAGACAAAAAGGAAAAGAAAAAAATATTCCTTCAGGGATTTCTGGCTGACCATACAGGAGTTTACCGTGTACACACAACATACAACATAATTAATCTACATATGTGTAAACATACCTGAGCACGTATACATACACACAAATAAGACCTTATTGCTCTTATTTTTTAGTCATGAGATAGGAATACAAACTCACCAGTTTATAAAAGATACTTAGATCTAAATTTTTTTTAGAACAAATGGGACCTTTTCACATGGATACACTTTATTTGCCCCAATAGATAATCTAGTGAAGACAGTTGAACCAGATTTTGAGTAAGCCAGTTTTTATAGCAGTTTGATTTTTAAAGAAAAACATTTTACCCTCTTTTTTTTTTTTTCCTTTATTTTTAAGTGAGTTTAGGGTTAAATTTTCAATGTTTACATTTTAGCTAGAACTGGCTGAACAAGTTTTTCTTTTGTTTGTTGGTCTGGTTTGTTTGACCATCTATGCGGGTGGGTCACTTTTTAAAAAGCTATTATGATTATTATTATTTCCTTAGGCTCTTTCTAGCCCATGCGTGGCAACCAAAGCAATTCTTATGTTGGACAGAGATACCTTATATTATTGCTCAGAGCTCAAGATTTTTACCTGTTGGAACTGAGAACCCAACTTTTGTAGATAGTTACCTAGTTATTTTTTTTCTCATTTTGTCTGAAATATCACAAACAGTGAATTTTATCTGAACACCTACAGAAGAGTCAGCATTCAAAGTAGGAAAAAAAAAAATAGAGAGAGAGAGAACTTAACCCTACTTTATATATTTGGCCTCTGATTTTTTTTAGGTCAATATTCCTGGTGACCAGAAAGGGTTAATCCTATAGTTGCAGTCTCTTAATTTGGTACTAAGAAAAAAAGAAAAACTTGGAAAGTTTGAATGATTCTCGTGGTGGCCATCGATCTAAAACCATGCATGAGGAAATTTGGTAGGCCTTAGAGAATATCATTGCGTCTAGTTCTAAAGCCAGCTTTTTAAAAAAAAAATAATGCACACAAGTATACTAATTTAGGAATTTTTAAAGACCCCAATTTTGACCATAGGCAGATCCAAAATTGCAGTTGACAAAAGACAGCTGTAACTTTAAAGCATGCTGTGGAATTCTTGGCCAAAAAGTGCAACTACTGGTACCTGCCCTGCCAACTGCAACCCAAATCTCCTGCTGTGCATGAGGAGTAGAGAGGCAAAATAATAAATAAAAATAAAAACCCTACTTTGCTGATACCCATGACCCAAGCTTCCTGCTGTGTAGAGGAGGCAAAGCAGAAAAGAAGGACTTTGAGAGGAATTCCTCCTACCCAAGAACAGAAATAGTGGAGCTGCCAAACCCATAACCTGAATCTCCCGCCATAGCAGAAGTGGAAATGACAGTTACCTTCACTGGAGTCTCCTGTGGGTGGAGATGGAAAACCCTTGCTTTTAAAAGGGTCAAAACAGCCCAAGTAAAGTCCAGCAGACATCAGCCAAAACAAGGGAGGTCCGAAATCCAGGGCAGACTCAATCTATGCACCCAGCGAAGCCTCTAGAGTTGGAGGACTCAAAGGGCCCTTTGCCAGAACCTAGTGCCAAATTCAAGAGGAACTCAGGGTGGTCAGGGGAGGCACTCTGGATCCTTTCATGGTCACCAGGAATGTTGACCTAAAAAATAAATTGAGGCCAAATATATAAAGTAGAGTTTATTTGGGAACAGAACATTGCAATGGGAATATGTGTATCATAGTAAACTATGTGCATATAAAAATATGTGCATTTAAAGGCGAAAGAAAAAAGTAATTTGTTTTGAAACAAACAAAGCATTGGTTACAGGGGCTTACCCAAGGAATTGACACCAATTCTTTAGTGGAGACAATGTCAGGCAAAAGGATTCTTGTACATAGACTAGCTGTCCTTGTGGCTCATGTAGCAAGTTGCAATTTGAAAAGTCCTTGGGGAAGGTTTTTGTCATAGGCATATGTGTGTAAGAATCTTTGTAATGGTTCTTATCATAGGCATGTAGGTGTGAGTGCCCTCCCTTCTCAGCCTCCTAGCTTCATTTATTTCAATTTGAAAAGTCCTTGGGGAAGGTTTTTGTCATAGGCATATGTGTGTAAGAATCTTTGTAGTGGTTCTTATCATAGGCATGTAGGTGTGAGTGCCCTCCCTTCTCAGCCTCCTAGCTTCATTTTTTAATTTTTGTTAGAGTTTAACACACATGACTCCATTCTGGTTCTGACAACTTTCACAGATCTCAAAGACCAGGCTCTCGGCTATACTGATTCTCACTGGAGACTGTCAGTTATAGAGTGAGGGTCAGCTGAGAAAACAAAGAAGCAAGGCACACCAGAACCTTGTCTGCTGACAGAACATAATGCTCCAAGGCTCCAAATCCCAAATCTCTATGGGATTATTGCTGTGTGATGTTTCCACACAGTGCTGGACTGGAAAGTATGAGGCTGGATTCTGATTCTGACTGTCACTAGGTAGCTTTGTGACCTTTGCCTCCTCAGGCTTCAATTTCTTCTCCATAAAATAGGGTTGCACTACATGATTTCTAAAACTCTTTGAAGCTCTTTCCCCAGCCTTAAGTGGCCTCATCCAGAAATGCTGAAATCCTCAGGCCAGTATTCCCAGTATCTGGTTGCACCTATGTTCCCTTGGGATCTGACTTTTCATCAAGGTCAACATTATTGCCTTCAAAGGACGTATTTTCATTTTGATGGTGCTAGTGATATTTGAAAAGAAGGATATTGAAAGAGAGGTGAGTCTGACTGAGGAAGATGATAATGTCCAGGTTGGTGTCCAAGTTGATTCTTCATAGACAGTCCAGACCAAGATAGAGTCTGATGTATCGTTTGAAGGGATCTGGGAAAGCATCCAGTTTGATCTCTTCATTTGACAGATGCGAATGCTGAAGCTCAGTGAGGAAAAGTGACTTGCAGAAAGTTAGTGGCAGAGAGCACCAGAACATGAGTCTCCTGAGTCTAGTCTAGTCTCCCTTCCCCTCCACCACATTACTTCTAACATCTGCATTTTGTAATAACTTGAAACCTGCCTTTAGGCTAATTCTTTAGCTTTTAAGTTTTTATTGCTCCTCTGTTAAAATATGGTTACCTCAAGGTAGAGTTTACTATCTTAAGGATCTCTTTCCAATGATAAACGTATTGAATTCTTGTAATAGCTCACTTCCAAGCACCAACCTGGGCAGAAATAGGCCGTCACATACTAAGCTGTGTTTGGCAGTCAGTTTGGGGGTGTTAGTGAGCAGGAAAGATTGTGAAAGGAGAGGACAGCCAGGATTATTACAGGAAAGCTGGACCTTTGAAGAGGAGTAGGTACTAAGAGGCACATGACATAAGGGACATAAAGATCTCAAAGATGCATTTTTTTAAAAAAGTTGGGTTTATTAAGCTATAATTGACATACAGTAAAATTCACCCTTTCAGAGATACATTTTTTAAAAAAATTCTGTTTGGCTGAGGGCCAGTCCTGCCTTAGGTTGTCTAATGCAGAGAAGTTTGAAGCAATGAGTTTTAAAGATATAGAGAATACCAGATAGGAGAACAGCATTTTGTAGCTCTGCCACTAATATGCTATGTGACCTTGGAAAGTCACTGTCATTCTGTGGGCCTCAGTTTTATAATTTGTAAAGCCAGTAGGTTGGACTAGTTCTTTAGAGGATCCTCCCAAGGGTGTTCCCAAGAAAAATATTTGTAGGATTCCAGAGAAAGGCCCATTCTGACCAGTTTGTTCCTTTTTCCTCTGCTTTCAGCTCACACTGCCCACATTCCCCGTGGTGGTGAAGATTGGCCACGCTCACTCGGGCATGGGCAAGGTAAGGCAGAGGGCCTGCTATGCTTTGGGGTAGAGGCCGAGAAGGGCATTTTTCAGAGAACCCATTTGTGGACTACTCTTCTGCCTCTGTTCCTGATGAATTCTTTCCAAGGAGAAGATTTAGCCCCTCTGAAGCCATGAGTGTTTACCCAACCAGACCTCTTTCAACAAGCAGAGTCCAGGCCACCTGCTTGGTCCCTCGGGCCCTTTGTAGCAAGTATGGCCTCTGAGCCTGGAAAGGGAAGCTAGAGAGAAGGGGCCTCCTGGGGAGGTGTGGCACGCAGCTTTGCATCTAGACTGGAAACATCTTGATGAGTTTGGAGGCTCATAGCCCTTGTGACTTTCCAGCATGTATGAGTGTGTATGTCTCCCTTTCTCCCTCTCTGCCTTGTTCCAACATTAGGTCAAAGTAGAAAACCACTATGACTTCCAGGACATTGCTAGTGTGGTGGCTCTTACCCAGACCTATGCCACAGCAGAGCCTTTCATTGATGCCAAGTATGACATCCGGGTCCAGAAGATTGGCAGCAACTACAAGGCTTACATGTGAGTGGGGTGTGGGGTCCCAGCAGATACTTTCCACTTTCTCCTCAGCCACAATAGAAAGTTTGAGCCTCCAGGTAGCAACCAACTCCCAGTTTAACCTCATCTGGCCCAGAGGGCAGATAACAGAGAGAGGGCACCGTGGATTCTTAATCTGGGATCCTTTTAAGTCAGAGGAGGGGCCTATGAACTAAGAGGAGAAATAGAATTACTATTCATTTTCACTAGCCTCTAAGTGAAGTTGAGCTGTCTTTTCAGCTGTGAACAGAGACAAAAGACAACAGTAGTAATAACAGTATATAGGACTTTGACATTAAAGGTTATCACAGATATCCTTATATCACACTACAGTTGTGTGTGATATAAACTATACTGTATAGATATAAACTGTAGTGTGATAAACACTACAGTTATCTCTAAATATCAATTATTCGCATCACTACTTAAAAATCTTGGTAGTTATCAGCCCTGCCACTACATCCTGTTATTTAGAAAGAGAAGTATATTTTACTAATCACAGACTTGGTTTTTTATTTTATTTATTTATTTATTTATTTATTTTTTTAAAGATGTCCGGTAAGG